CCTTATTTGCTGCATCACATTCTTGCACATTTTCATGAGTTAAACTGACTTCTCTCTTTTGTCTTTCTTTTCTTTTCTCTTCTTTTCCTCCTCCTGTTTATCTTTACCATATCATTTACTCTTTTTATGCACTTTCATCATGCAAATACTTGGCAACGTGTTACTATTTCTGCATAAAGCATGCTCCACATCATACTCCACTCGTGCTTATTATCAACATAGCGGCGCTTGATGAGTGTCCGCGCTTTCCTGAAATCACCCTTTTAAACAGAAAAGGCTTATTTGTGGTAGACTAGTCGATCAACAATACAGTCGATGGTCATGTGCCTTTCCCTCTCGAGTTGTCCACTCGATAGTACCAGTCTAAACCTTTCTAGAAACCACACTCCGATTTAATACATACATCATGCTAAACCTAGTACGGATTGAGACGTCATTGACGTATCAACCCACTTAGATGAACCTTGTCCCAAGTCCAACGAGATTTCTATAATCCCAAAGGACACCATCATATTATGTGCATTACTTGGAGAAAACTTGCCAACATGTTGATCATTATTGCGTAAATAGTCGAATCTGGAGGGGGAAAGGTCTAACCTTTATTTGTTTGCAGAAAATAAAGCACGAAATCCCCAGGTTTGGTATGGTCTAGAATATCCCACCTTTTCTAATTGATTGGTGGAAAGACCTTGCACCCTGTGACAGAAACCACGTGAGGAGAATGCTTGGTGACCTGCCATCTTTGATGAATATTCGACCAAATAGGGAACTAATCGAGGTTGCTACCATGTTTTGGGATGGGAAGAGAGATGTTTTTCAATTTGGAAATATAGAAATGACTCATCTCCTGGAAGAAATAGGAGGTTTTGCCGAGTTACCATGGGGTAGTCCAGGGCTATTGGTGCCAGAGAATCGCACTCCACGTAGTTTTCTGAAGATGTTGGGTTTTAAGAAGAATGATGAGCTGGTATGTCTGAAGAAATCATATATCCCCTTTTAATTTCTCTATGAGCGTTATGGGCATAGAAAATCATATCGCCTTCATCATGAGGGGCTATCCATTACCTCTTTAGGATGGGTGCACCGCCGGGTTTATGTTTTCATAATCTGTTTCTTGGGTTTGTTTATCTTTCCGATGCAAGAGGGGAGAATTCATACTCGCTTAGCCATGGTCGCCAGGACCTTAATGGAGGATATCGAGGGAAACAAGTACACTATCATCCCGATGATCTTAGCTGAGATGTACCGTGCTTTGGATCGATGCAAGCATGGGTCTGGACACTTTGAGGGTTGTAATCTCTTGCTATAAGTTTGGCTGCTGGAACACTTTCAGAGGGGTGATTATTGCCAAGAGCTTCTACGAGGGCCACTGAATGACTACATAGCCAATCATCATCCAAAGAAAATGACATTCATTCCAGACAGGTTTGCAAAGCCTGGAAATGTTGTAGGCTGGGTACGTTTCTTCAGCAATCTGACAGACGAGCAAGTGCATTGGATGTTTGAATGGTTTCCTAGTAGTGAGTTCATTATCAGACCTAAAGGAACTACTCACTTAGTACTGATCGGGCTGCGAGGCATCTACCTTTACGCTCCTATAAGGGTAATGAGGCAAGCTGGAAGGAAACATGTCATATCTCGGGTTTCCAACATGGTTCAGTGTAAGGCATATTTCGAAAGAGATGTCATCCAGTTCAAGTTCGAAGCGCAACACATGTGGAACTAAAAGATCATCGTGAAAGGAGAGACTATTGAACCAGACAGGTATCACGTCGTTCATGTACTACTATCTCTCATGGTTGGAGGACGACATAGCTGGGGACGTCAAACCGGGAGTCAATATGAAATATAGGATCATAGATGAGGTGGATGAAGCATAAGTGAAGTATAAAAGGCTATGCAAAAGGGTGTTCGAGTCCGAGCTAAGCATCTGGAACAACATAAAGTGAACATGGAGGCGATAACGGAATGGAAGGAGATTGCCAATAAGTCAACAGAAATGTTAGAATATCTATAGCAAGGATTGATGGAGCTGGAAGGGAAGATGAGAAAGAGGCTTTGGGATTGTCAAGGCATGGACGATGATGAGGGACAGAAGATGGCAAAGGCTTGCTACTGGATATGCGCGATCTAGGGAATGTGATTGATGGGGTCAAGAGAGCCAAGCATGGAGAAGGTCCTTCAAGGGGCAAGTATATTAGGAGATAATGTTCTTTAGTGCTTTCTAGATTAGATAAAATTTCGATATAATAAGGCTTATTCCATTAGTGACTTTATAATTATTATCGATTTAGTAAAAGATTGATTTGGTGTATTTTTGCATTAATGGAATGTGGCAAACATTGGCATGAATCTTCTCCAAGTCCATGTGTCGCTTAGGCCTACCTCAGGCATAATGAGGTCCCCAAATTAGGATGCGGATTATTGCATAACCTTATATGATACATGTCTAAGTAGTGCAAACACTCTTTACTTCGTCTTACTGACTGTTAGCTTTTGTTTTTCTTTCTTTCTGGTGACATAACTTTGTGTCACCGGGAAGTTGGTAGAAACGTTCCTTTTGGTGGGAATTTCATTGACCTCCCTGGAGAGACTTCTGACGGTTGATTAGAAGCACGTCTCTCCGCATTTAATGCCCCGAACACGCGTCATCCCACGATTCAGCATAACTTTTGCTAGCTATCGAGGTAATTATGGCCACAAATTTAGCCGCCTAAACCTTTACTTGTACGCATCTACTTCCCAAATTTTACACTTTATAACATTTTGAATTTTCTAAGACTTTCTTTACTCAACTCACCTTCCGACTTCAACCTTTCCTCAACTTCTTTCTTTGAGAGAAAAAACTCTTTCACTGATAAGAAATGGCCTCCTCTTCAAGAAAACCTAGTTCTTCAAAGAACAAAGGCAAAGCTGACGATGCTGCTCCCCCTACGGTGAGTATCATTGTCCCAAAGAGCCTGATTACCACCAAAGATTTCGAAGAGAAGTTTCCTTATGCTAACTCTCGTACATGGGTCGTTGGCAGATACTCTTCTTCCATTCGTCCTTCCAGTATTTCTGTTGTGAAGGAAGATTGTCGTTGTTAGGATTTAGACATTATCACTCCTGATCTAGAGGAGCGGGTAACCCCACCCAAGGAGGGTTTTACATACTTTTACACGTATCCCTTTACTTTGGGAGCACTCCTGATCTGGAGGAGCGGGTAACCTCACCCAAGGAGGTTTTTACATACTTTTACATGTATTCCTTTACTTTTGGAGCGTTTTCTTTGAGCGGTGAACTTGATTCTGTTATTACGTAGTTTTGTCTCCACTTTTAGATGCGTTTGGATCAAGTAAGTCCTTTCGTGTGGAGGACGATTGCTTGTCTTCAGTGCCTGTGCCAAGAAAAGGGAGAGGAGCTATCCCTAGCTCACGTGATGAACCTCTATTCCCCCAAAATCTTCCGTGGGGGAATGATAAACTTCAACAAACGCGGCCACCATGCCTTGCTATCTATCATGGATAATGACAACAACCGTGGGTGGATGGAACGGTTTGTTGCAGTTGCCACTAGTGATATCATTTCGGCAACGACTTCATCTTTTTGGAATCATGAAATCGCACTTGTAAGCTCCTTGTTTAATATTTCTTTCATTAGAAGTTTTCTCTTATCCTTATCGACCCTCCTTCTTTCACCTATTTTAGCAACTCAATGGGTTCCACCTAGGGATGAAGGCTTGGACTAGTGAGTCCAGAAAATCCTGAACATTACTACGCCCGAAACCCGCACGTGGAAAGAACTGACCCTTAAATACGAGTGGAGCCCAAAAATCATGGTAACTTAGACTCATCTTGTCTTTGTTTTCGTGTGAGCAAATTAATAAACCCCTTCTCTCTTTGTCGAATTCAGGTCTACTTGCAGGTTCGATTGTCGTCCCCGAGGAGGACGTTTTGAATGATCCTGCTGATGCAACGAGTTGCTTCAGGAGGCGCTTATTGGAACAGGTGTCTCCGGGCTTGCTTCAAGTGCAAATATTTCTTCTCGGAGTCCCCGGCCAGAGAACAAGTAACAAAAAAAAAGTACTACTCTGTGGCCGGGGGAAAGAATAAAAGGGAGAAGAATGCCGCCCCAAGTCATCTCCGAAAGTTGTGGTGACGAGCCCTCCGCCCGTGCCAACCATAGATACCGCGATGACCGATGATGATGGAGAAGCTAGAGTAGAAATTAGCTACTCATAATAATATGTAAAAGTGCAATACTAGAATTCATAACCAACAAGAGAAAAAGAAGAAGAAAGAAACTCGTAGCGGAAGCTTGTTCGTTTTCGCTCCCTTTGTGTTCTTGGCTCATAACGTAGTGTCTTCCCTAGGTCAAAAGTTTTGTAAAAATCACATTTAGGGTATATTTATAGGTGTAGGAGACGCTTTAATCCAATACCAATTCGGCTAGGATAACTAGAGGGAGCATCTGCCTCCCGCGCTTCGTGATGCTGCTAAGCCCCCAACTCTCTTCTTTTCTAACTCGCGATGCCTCATGCAATGTGTTGAAGTATTATTTTGCGTGAAGCCTGATTCCTCTGGCTCTTCTGCCTTCGTCGCAGGCGCGACGTTTGGTGGACGAGCATCCTTTAGTTTTTATTCTATTTTCACGTTCCTTTTTGGGCCAAATCATCATCTTTTCAATATTTTTTCATTCAAATACGTTCCTACATAATAAACACGTAATGAGCATAAAATACTCCAAATACCATGTAATCCGCATCAAATCACACAAGATATGAAGCACGACGATACTCAAAGACATGTATTTTTGCCGATTATCGGAATACCTGTACTATCCCAAGATCTCTCTTGATTGTTAATGAAACCACAAAAAGGTAAAAAGTGAAACAAAAAGAAAAAAGAAAAAGAAAAAAGACAGCAATCGCAATTATCTAAAACAGAGAAAATGTAAGGCCAAGATTGTTGAACTCAGACTACGTCGTATTAGCTCGAGTAGTTAACAGTCAAAAGGCGCAAAATAGCCAACAATCCTAGTTTAGAGGAGAATCCGGTCCATGCAAATACTTGTCAACTAGAAGTATATTTCTTATGTCTCTGCAAATCTTTCACAGTATTACTCCTCTATCTTCGCCGTCGACGTCGAATTTCCCGTCTACGCAGTTTCTTTCTCGGTTTGTCCCGGCGACAAGTCATGTCAGTAACTGCTCTAATAAATCACCATCAGTTGGCTTATCGGAATTACAGTCCCAATTCAAGCCCCCGACTGACGATCTCCGTCCTATTGAAACAAAACCTAGTAGCAGTAGCAGTTCAGATGATACACCTGAGAGTGAAGGAATTTCTGGTATTAAAGTGCCCAGACAAAGATATATTGCCGCTTCCAAATCGCAGCTGTTAGGTGCCATCACTTCTACCATGTTTAATTCACCGGAGGAAGCCGATCAATTTCGTCATGTATCATTGTAAATTTCTCAACTTTTTGCTTACTTCAACTCCCTTTTTCCATGTGCATGTATAATATCAAATTGATTTGACTTAATCACTATTAAAAGTAGTTGCTGATATTTTGATTTGTTGAACGTCTGGAACTTTGAGGAAAGTGTTCTATTTGCAAATGTGGAGTATATAATGATGCTAAGTTTTCATCATTTCATGTTTGTTGGTGATATACTGCAGATGGAGCATTTTCTTAAGGATACTGCTCCTACAATTCAAGGTTTCTTTGTTGGCTATTCACATTTGTGGGAAGGGAGGGAGGAAGGGGGGGTGGGGGAGGGTTGCTATTGGTGGAATATCAGTTCAGTACTTTGTCGACTTGCTAGTTTAGCTTATGCTTTTTGAATAAGCATTTCACTATAGTGTAAACCATTCAACAGCTCAACTGTTGGCCAGTCACACAGATGTTGTAGAGCCAAATTCTATTAGCGTTTGGGGAAGGGGAAGTGACAGCCTGAAAGCAAAGAAAATCGTAAAGTGAATGCGAGAAATATAAAGACACAGAAATATAGTTTAAAGAAGGAGAGAGGGGTAAAGATCTTATTGATACCATATGTTTTTAGATATCGTCTGTATAATATGGAAAGAATAATGTAGTGGAAGACTTAGAGATTTTGTGTCCGAATTTGATGGAGAGTTTGGGTTTGGGGGGGGGGGGTGGGGGTAGGANGGAGAATGCTAGCACGCCTATAAGCCTGCAAGAACACAACTATTAGAGGCTAAGATCCCAGGGGATCAAGTTTGATTTCGTGGACAATAACTTGCAGTATTGTCATGATCTATGAATCTATGTAGACGAACTGTAGTAAGTAGTATTTTGTAGGTACGTGAGAGGAGACGTCCTCTGCTTGATGCCTATTCAGGGAGTTAAGCAGTCCTATTTATAGTGAAGAATCCAACTACCTACTACTTTTGTAGGTGGTAGTGGAGGTAAAAGTGGAGTCTTATCCCAGAGAAGTGGAGGAGTGGCTTCTTATTTCCAAGGATTGGTTATGGAGCCCTATCCCAAAGAACGGGGGAATGGCTCCTCAAGTAGTTATCATTCCTTGACTTAGTCTTAAGAAAAATAAGTTGGCACAAATGATTTGTGGAGTATGGTGTATATGGCCAGTGGAGAAAGCAACTCATGGAGAATATTGTTTCAGAGATAGGCCGGACGTCCGTGAGGGCTTGTGGATTCTTTACAAAGGATGTTTGGAACCTCATGCATGCGAAATTCATGATGACTAGGCCGATGTACGTAGGATAATCGTGGATCATTCTAAGACACGTTATTGGGTAGAGTCCAAGTTCCATACACATGATTTGGTTGAGCGAGATCATGGACCAACTATTTTAGGGGTGGTTGATGAGTAAGTTGGAACGACAACCTTCTCCTTTTGGATTCGGTCAAAGGCTATATTGTGGGCGAGCCATGGGCCTGACATTTGGAGGTCACGACTTGTATTCTTAGACCCATGCATAGAGCTAGTCAGGAAATTGTTAGCCAAGCCCATGGCAGGCATGTGCTATTTTGCGCACTAAAGGTAGCTGTTAGATTTTAAGTTGCTCGGACTCTCCGAAAATGTTGTCGGGTAGTGTCTTTTGGAGGACCCGACGCGGGTGCGGCATCATTTTGGAGAGTCTGCGCAACATAGGTTAGAATAGCTATGTGATTATATATATAATTAGTCCTAGTCACATATATAATAGGAGTAGGTTATATGTTATGTGTACTTACAAATAGGGTTCTTTGTATTACGATTAGCATAAATATTAGATTTTTCTCCCGTACATTTTCACATGGTATTAGAGCATCAGTGAGAAAAGATCATTGTGCGTCATTCCAACGACATCTGGGAAGAAAGAACTCAGTCACCTCGCAATTTTTCGGCGAGATCTGTGCACGCGCCGGGTTCGTGAGACCTCTTCCAGCCAGATTCCGACAAACTTCCTTCAGGACAGCTTACTCGCACAGCAATTCCGAGTCCACCAGTACTATTTCTGACAGATTCCGACAACTTTGGAATTTTTCGGCGAGCTACGGCGTTTTTCGGCGTGAACAATGCTTTTCGGCATAATATAGTGTTCTTTTTTTCCACTATTTCAAGTTAACCCAACAACTTTTAGTCAAGAATTTGAGAAATTAATTGTAGCGAAATGGGATCGAATACTAGGAATTGTTGGATGGTTTTTCTACCGGATTATATTGAGTTCCTTTAGTACAAAGCATGTAAAAAGACATCTTCAGAGACAACTTTCGTTGTTCAAACATGTAATAGCGTGACTTGTGTCTCCCAATCTTCATCTCACGATTCTTGGGTTGTTGATTCAGGTGCATCCGGTCACATTTCTGGTAACATATCTCTTTTCACTACTATTTCATATTCTCAATCTCTTCCAACAGACACAATGGCCAACGAGTCTCAAACCATGGCAACTAGAATAGGTCAAGCAAGTCCAGTTCCTTCCTCACCTTTAGATTCAGCTCTTTATGTTCCCGGTAGTTTTGTTAATTTCATAATCGTTAGTCGTTTAGCCAAATCACTTAAATGCTCTGATACCATGTGAGAATGCACGGGAGAAAAATCTACTATTATTTGTGTTAATTGTAATACAATGAACCTTATTTATAAGTACACATAATATATAACCTACTCCTATTACATATGGGACTAGGACTAATTACATATATATTCGCAATTAGCTTGCAAAATACCTCATTTGTGGAAAGGTTGTCGAGCTAGCTAACAAATCCCCCCACCTCCCCACCCACCATAAAAGAAAGAAAGAAAGAAAGAAAAAGAATTCCTTTGTGGATTTTGTGGGTTGTGTCCATTTACAGGTCTGCAGTTAGTGCAGTCCAAAGTTGAAATGGAAGGACTCCAATTAATTTGGCCTTCATAAGATGTATATGACTATATAGGTTCAGAATTTGATTACACTATTGGAGTATCTAATTTCTTGTCAATTTTAGCATGCGAGGAAACATAGGGACTCCTTTCCCCATCAGTTATTACTACCTCTTACTAGGTATCACATGTGGAATTACACTACGGTTTTTGTTGTTGTTGTTGTAGTAGGTACATGTGTTAGGATGGTCTTTCATATCCTTAAATAGAATCATTTTCTTCAAACTAACAATTGTTTTTGGGCCCCCTAAAGGTTTGGTCCACATATTTATACTGTCTCAATTTTCTAAAGGGACTATTTAGTTAATAATATAGTTTGCTAACAACCTTATTTTCCCACCTTTCCGGTAAGGTCTGGCATAAATGTAATGAATATGTGAATGATTTGAAGAAGTCTTCTGTCAAGGAAATGAAAGAGCTAATTCCTCTCCGAGTCTGCTCTAGAAATAGGTAGACTGCCGGATAGGACTAATATCTTACTGTGGAAGAGAATAATAAGCTAAGTCTAGGTGATGAGAGGAGGACAACCTGTCTGCTATATCATGGCTTTGGCCCTGGTTTTTCCAATTGATATAGACTGCTTTTTATAAACATAAATGCTATGCCTCATTGTTCTTATTGATGATGAAATCATGTTACAACCAAAAAGGTGACATTTAATTGATGGCAAAACTATGTAAGTAGAACTGACGTATTTCAGCTCTCAAATGCTGCAACATACAACGTAAGAACAGTGGTTTAGTAAATATTTACTTAGAGCTGTGAGATCTTTCACTTACTGGAAATAATATGATGAACGCCTTTCTCTTGGTCACACGTCAACTCATACAAGCTACTCCTCTGTCTCATTTTATGTGGCACATTTTCCTTTTTAGTCTATCTAAAAAAGAATGACACCTTTCTATATTATAATCAATTTAACTTTAAATTTTATTTTTTACCCTTAATGAGATGATAAGCTACACAAATGTCTATGGCTTGTTCTAAACCACAAATAATGTCTATGGCTTGCTCTAGACCACAAGTTTCATAGTTTTTCTTTAACTCCGTGACAAGTCACCGTCACATAAAATAAGACGGAGGAGTATGATTTTTGCTATGCTGACTTGAAACTTCATCACTGTAAAAACCCCCAAAATGTTGTGAGAAACCAAATTAAACTCGGAAAGTCTTTCAATTGTCCACTTGCTTTCTCCAAACTTATGTTTTATCTTTCAAGTGGAGCTAAAGAGAAGATTCATTAGAGCTGTAATTAGAAAATTTATAACTCGGGGGGCCTGCATTATTCCACTTAATTTATATGACCTTACAGCACGAGCAAGAATTTTGGAACGTAATATTTCAGACATCTGAATGAATTCTACTTCGTCAAATCCTAAATTCTAGCATGTTACACTAGGAATTCTAGTCACTTAACCCCATCTATAGTTGTGTAAATTGAAGGTTAGAGCTTTAATTGTTGAATACACTTTTTTTACTTTCAGGTTTGTGTTAAAAGAATTTCTGTAATTGCAGATGCCTGGACCTGATTCTCCATGCTGAACACAAAGTCATCTTAGAGGAAATGCGAGTTGATTATGATCGATCGCATGCCAATGATAGTTGTAATAAAACTGCAGTTTCATCTGGGCAAGAAAGAAATTTCACGCCAAATGGAAGTGGTTCCGACATTATGATGAGTGATGTTGAGAAGGTCAAAGACATTGATAAATATGACTGGGATATGGAACTGAAGAATCTATGGCGTTCAGGTTCTGATCAATTCTCAGGATCTCCTTATGTTTCTTTTCTCAAATTTGTCAACAAAGACTCTCTTGAGGAGTCTAGGTATGTTGCTATCTTCTATAATAGCGTGTAATATCATAAAGTTTAATAATTAATTTAAGCTGCGTCACTATATAAGATCGATAAAAAGAAAATGAATGCAAAAGGCTCTAAAATCAGCTACTGGAACTGACAACCCAGGTAAAACATCTAACATTAAGGAAAATAATGTATAGAACTGTCTATTGGACAGAAATTGCTATTTTGAAGATGCCCAATCGAAATTCTTCTTGAGGGTCACAAAGTGCTTTGCCAATCTTTAATCTGCATATAGTACTGATTCAGCATGAAGATACACTGTTGAGAAAAGAAAAAAGAACAAATTTATAGTATTGAAGGCTAGAGAGTCGGAGATGCCTTCTAAATCGAAGTTTGATTATAACCATAAGAGAGTCTTAATTTGATAAGGGCTGACAAGTCAGGAAAGGAGATTTCCCAGTTTCCGTTCACAAGGTTGGTTGTAGGAATTCTCCTAATTTTGTTTGTCTAAAAGCTGGGTCTTATTATGGAATTATAGAAAAATGAAAGAAGCTGAGGAAACTTGACATGGGTTTAGACTGCTTCAAATTGAGGCAACCTGACAAAAGATAAGGACATATCACTTACTATTTTATTCGAATGCTTTTGGAAAATGATAACTATGTGAACTTAAAAACATTTTTGTTGAGCTCAAGCAAGAGATCTTTGAGAGCTGCAAAAATGACCACAACTATACAACAAATATCTATTAGAACTCCTGCAGTGTCTAATATCATATGCTTTTGGTTTTTACACGGGTTCTCATGATAACTTTTGGTGGACATTGATTTTGCATGTGACTTAACATCTGAAATTTCCTGTAGAACTGCTGTTTCCAGTCGTTTTCAACATGCTTTCCTGCAGCTGCTTTCCAATGCGGGTTTTGAAGAATTGTCTGCTAGAGATCTGAGGCTGACATCTGCTCTAAATACTGATTATCTTCTTACATTACCTATATCTGTAGACTGGAAGAGGGCATCTCAGTCCAGTGCCATATTATTCAGGTTAGTGTAAATAACTTTTCTCAATTAGAAGAGAAAAGAGGAAACTCTTATTGAAGTTGGAATAAAATACTTATCTCTACTTGGTCCGTTCAATACATACAAAATGTACTAGCACAAGAAGTCGAAATTATACCATTCCCATAATCAAGTTAAATTGTATTTAATCTTGTGCTACAATCATTCCGATGGTTTGTCCAATTCCATCTTAGATTGTGAACATAATCTTTATACTTGTAAAAATCGATGATTTAATCTTTCGTGTATAAGCTAAACTCTATAAATCATCNATTGATCCGTTAGCCACCCGAAACTCACCCGAAGCCCTCGGGACCTCAACCAACCATGTCAACATATCCCATAACATCATTCAAACTTGTTCCAAACTTCGGAACGCTCAAAACAACATCAAAACACCAAATTCACCTCGGATTCAAGCCTAAGAACTCCAAAAACTTCCAATTCCGCTTTCGATCAAAAAGTCTATCAAACCACGTCCGAATGACCTGAAATTTGGCACACACATCCCAAATAACACAACGGACCTACTGCAACTTTCGGAATTCCATTCCGACCCCTATATCAAAATCTCACCTATCAACCGGAAATCGCCAAAATTCTAATTTCGCCAATTCAGGCCTAAATCTACTCCCGACCTTCAAAATACATTTCGATCACGCTACTAAGTCTCAAATCACCTAACGGAGCTAACCAAATCATAAAAACTCCAATCCGAGGTCATATACTAATAAGTCAAAAACTTGGTCAAACCTTTCAAATTTTAAGCTTCAAACTGAGAATTGTTCTTCCCAAATCCATTCCGATTACCCTGAAAACCAAAACCGACGATTTACATAAGTCATAATACCTCACACGGGACTAGTCATGCCCGAAAACTAGCGAGCAAAGTGCAAAAATTCAAAACGACCGATCGGGTTGTTACAATCAATCTCCCACAAAAACATAAGCTAAAACACTAGGGGTCATTTGGTTCGGAATAAGGATATATATCCCATATCTTATATGGGATAGAATATATTAAGATTTCATATAAAATATATATAAATTTTAATTAATGCCAATAACTAAATATAAAATAAAAATATTAATCTTGTGCTACAATCATTCCGATGGTTTGTCCAATTCCATCTTAGATTGTGAACATAATCTTTATACTTGTAAAAATCGATGATTTAATCTTTCGTGTATAAGCTAAACTCTATAAATCATCTATTATATAGGTAAAGGACACAGACGTAAAACACAATTTCTCTATAATAAATACTATATCCAAACCAAACTCATGGTTAATAGTATATATCCCAACAAGATTAATGGACTCGTACGAAGATTCTGTTACCATGGTGAAAAAATTGTGGGAAGACTGCTGGTAAAATTTTAATGTTTTGAGGAGGGGCTCAATACCCAAACTTTGATATCATAAAAAAAAAAAAAAGAACGAGAAAAGGACTTCTCGTGAACAATGACAGAAAATTCAACATTCATAGAGGAACTCAAAACCAAAATCTAATAACTCAATATCCAAACTCTGATATCTTGTAGAAAAATAAAAAGAGAATGAGATTTATTCTGGAACAAAAAAGGGGCAGCTCGGTGCTGTAAGCTCCCGCTATGTGCGGGGTCCAGGGAAGGGCTGGACCACAATGGTCTATCTTAGGCAGCCTTACCCTGCATTTCTGCAAGAGGGTGTTCCCACGGCTCGAACCCATGACCTCCTGGTCACATGGCAGCAACTTTACAATTACGCAAAGGCTCCCCTTTGAGATTTATTCTAGAACACCGACCAGAAATCGATGTTCAGATGAGGGGTTCAACATTCAAACTCTACTACCTTGGGGAAAAAAGGAGAAGAATTTTCAAGAAACAGTTGCTAGAAGAATCATCAGAACAAGAAGAGGTATGTTGCCGTTGAATCAGTCACCTGCAAGAAGCGTTGTTAGTAAAACATAGACAATAAGTAAAATTTTGGTCAGTGGCATAAGTGATAAGGCCAGTCGCTAGCTGGAGAAGCTACTTGTTGAGTTAAAGTCTACATCAGATGTACAAGGCAATTAAATGAGTCTATAAAGCTCGTCATCCACTATTACCTTATAGTTTTAGCAAGTCCATATTTAGAGTCGTAAGTCTGCATTCAAAGTTCACATGTGAATCCCAAAATTGGATTATGCCGGAGGGTGTTTAGTTATTAAAGTTCCAAACGGGATAATGAGGATATCTAAAGGTGTTTACAAAGGTCTTGGACCCTCCACTCATTGCCTTAAGGTTTTGGGTTGACAGATATTTTCACATTACTAAGATCGTAAAAGTTCTGCTATAATGTGCAAATAGAAAAGAAGAGAGAAACAATATTGAAATTGATTTTTAACAACAAAGAGGACTCCTTATTTGTGGGGTTTGAGCTACGTGAAGTATGGAAAAATTCCTAATTCTTGAGATAGTATTTATTATGATATGATCATTATGTTCAGCACAATATTCTTAATGATTTACTTGACTTTTAACAACTTTAATCCTACTCATGTTATTCCTCATTTATTTTCTGTTGAGTTCCTCTCTCTTACACTTTCCCTTACATCTCTTTATTGACTTATATTTCTTTCCCACTCGATTTTCTTTTTGACAAGTAAATTAATATACTTGTATTAAAGTCATTAACTTTTGCATGCAGACGTGGTTATGCAACTGAGAGGCAGAAGGGCTTGCTAATTGTTGAAAAACTAGATTACTTGCAATCAAAGTTTCTACAAAGAGTTTTCTTTCTGATAGTCAAACCTCTGAAGAAAGTTAGTATTTGGTTGACTGAGGTATGTGACTACTGGTACATCAGATTTTCCTTTTTCTAGAGGTACCCTGAAAAGTTGCTTTGCAAGGGTCCCCCAATATGTGTTTAGAGGGGTATGTGGTACCTATGAACCTGATTTCTTGGATTTTATAGCAATCACAGTTACAAATTTCCATGGATCTGCAAAAGAATTGGAAACATTCGCCAATTAAGTGCATTCCCTTTAAATGAGCTGCTTCAAATATGCAAAAGGAAGCTAAACAAAAGAGTTGTTAAAAAGCTACTATATATTTGTGGCAAATGATCGTCATTTCAAATATTTCACTCAGAGGCTCTCCTAGATCAACAGATTCTTTTAACTGAGACAGACATGACAAGATTACGAGAACCGAAAGTCATGTGCTAAGGGAAGCAGCAAGCACTGGCGGAAATAGGTAGTCTATTGGCCATTTTTGGACGATAGATGGTAGAAAATGATTTTAAGATTGCTCTTTTTTAAGGAAAACATGTGAAGGCTGCTGCCAACTGATTCTCGAGCTCAATCATTCTGGTCTTGGTTGGTTATTGATTGCATATTACTTGAAACCATATTGATTTGCTTTATTATGATGCTTCTACTTGATGGGATATAGTTCTTTTTCCTAACACGTTTAGTGGTTTGATGTAGAAGCAAAGATTTCCCTTAATTTTGAAGGTCGTTACAATCATTCTAAGATTGCTATATATTCTTGATCCAGGTTTTGGAAAGATCTATCACAGAAGATAATGCTCAAATTTGGGCCCAAAAAGTCAAGCTTTGGTTGAAGGATTTTCCCATTCTCCAGCAAACATCTAGTGACAACCAACACATATCAAATAAGCCATTTGAAGTTGACGCATTATCAGAAGATGACCTTCCCCTTCAGAAAGCTGCACAGAATGCTGTAATTCGTTATGAAGAAAATCTTTCAGCAGTTGGGCCTCGTGGTAGGCTTCTAAAAAAGCTGCTGATGCTGATTGGAGTTCTACCGTCAAAACACAAACAGCAATTTGAACTTGAAATAGATGATAATGAAATTGAATCTCATTTAAGGTTCGTCCACTTGAGTACTAAATTCTATATGGCTATGTGACTGAGTTTATGTGTTCTAACAGAACTTGAAACACTCCTTATGTGTAAGAAAAACTCATATTGTACCTAAATTTATGAAAGTTTTTTGTTGTTGTTGCTGCTGTTGTTGTTAGTTTCTTTGGTTTAAGAATGAGATCTAAATTTCATTGAGTTCTTAAATGACCGTTTCACCAAAGAGAATCTTCTGTATAGGCCAATCTTTTTGTCGAGGATATCACTTAGCGATATATGGGAACCCGCATCACTGAAATCATGTGCAAATGATCTTTGGAGAATGTTGAGAACTTCTATTTCCATTCTTCTCTCAAAATCAACTCTCCAGGTAACTTCAATTACATTCATGTTCAGTTCGCATAGCATAGGACATTACTGCCTTAATATCCACTCTTTGTCTTCATAATTGCTTGAAGCACAATGAATATCATGGGCTCTTCAATTCATATACTACTTAAAAAATATTACTGCCTCCACTTCAATTTATGTGAACCCATTTCCTTTTTAGTCCATGCGAAAAAGAATGACATATTTCCATATTTGAAAACAATTTACCTTAATGCAATGGTTTATAGTCAACAAAATATATGTGCCTCATTTTACACCACAAGTTAAAAAGTCTTCTCTTTTTTCTTAAGCTTCGTGCCCAGTCAACTAGGTTAACATAAATTATACAGCACTAGTGTTCTTTTTTTTTTTTTTTTGGAGATTGCCTTTCCTTTTATCTTATATTTTTTATTAGCAAAATTCTTTTATACCACCAAGCCAACTGCAATTCATTCTTTTTCTCTTCCATTTTTGCTTTCTTAAAACTGTACATTAGTGGCCTCGAGTTACTCCTATATATTCTTCATAAAAATTGGATATTTTTTCGTGGTTAGCAAATATTATACCTGACCGCAGTGCTTTAAATAATTCATTGCAAATGTTGCATCTCATATATTGCTTTTGCGTACCGAATACCCTGATCTCTAGCAATAGCAATGGAATGCACCTTAAGAATACTTACGCTGAACCTAAAGAATAAGCCTTCAAAAATTGTTCTTAGTCAAGTAAACTTCATTACAGCAAACATTTAAACACTTATGTGCTCATCTTTTGCTAGAAAACTTTACTCTTAGGATCTGCATCCTCATATGATATGAATGTTTATTCTGATAGGAGCCAGCTTACCAAGAGTTGATTTTACTATACATCAAGGAAACTTGTGAGGGAGGTGATGCGGATAAAGATGAGTTCCCTTCATTGCAGCTGAAGATCTACGAGAAAATCCCCATTCCAGATCTACCAGTAAATCCTTAATCATGGAATATACTTGATCAACTTTTGAATTACTTGAAGTTTATGATTGTATCTTTTTTTCATCCACATTTTGATTTAGTATGTACTTCAGTTAATTATCTTTGTTACTCTTTGTAGGTTGTTTTTCCGCACAAGAAGTTGTCTTTCCGCATACTAGATTCGGTATGAGCGGAAAATGAACTAAATTTATTCCCTAGCAAGACTCAACACTCACATCCTTCCAGTATGGAAAAAAAGCAATTTTCTGCAGCTTGATTTGTTGAGACTTTGACAATGGTGTTCATCATTCTGCATTAATGTTGCTTTTTCATTGATATGTTAAACCGATTTTCAAGTGTTCTTATAAATCTGCCTGAATCTTCTATTAAATTGAAAGGAGCTTGAAAATTATAATGTTGTAAGGTTAGACAAGCAAGCCTGCTGGTGGGATTTTAATATATGCTACAGACCAATGAGTGCTGGATTAGTTTGGTCAAAACCAATACTCAGGTTGGATGTCTAAATGCTTATCATAATGCCTTGCACATTTCCTTAATTGGTTTAATACAATGAACTAAATATAATCTGTGACATAGTAATTCATATACCAAAATTCAGGACCTTGAGATGAAACCTTAAACTATTACATTTTTGTATCAAGAGAAAAGAGGGTGAAAGGAACATTGTTAGAGGCTACAGAGAAGTGAATGGAAAAGGATTATATTTACAAACTTGAGCGCAAGAATCTTAAACACTCAAAGGTTGTCCATATGGAGAGGTGTGCCAATAGCTTACATTATAGCGATCAAGGACATGTATGACGGAGCTAAGACTCGGGTTAGGACAGTGGGAGGCGATTCAGGGCATCTCCCGGTTGCAATGGGGTTACATCAAAGATCTGCGCTCAACTGGTTCTTATTTTCCCTAGTGATGGACGCACTGACACGACATATTCAAGGGGAGGTGCCATGGTGTATGCTATTCGCTGATGACATAGTTCCGATTGATGAGACGCGAGGCGGTGTTAACGAGAGGCTGGAGGTTTGGAGAATGGACCTTGAGTCTAAGGATTTCAAGTTGAGTAGGACTAAGATAGAATACTTGGCGTGCAAGTTTAGCGTCGAGTCGAGGGAAGCGGGCATGAACGTGAGGCTTGGATCACAGGCCATCCCCAAGAGAAGCAGTTTCAAGTACCTTGGGTCGGTTATCCAGGAGGACGGGAAGATTGACGAGGATGTCACACACCGTATAGGGGTGGGTTGGATGAAATGGAGGTTAGCATTTGGAGTCGTGCGTGACAAGAAAGTGCCATTAATACTCAAAGGATTTGGGTTTCTTGGTCTCCTTATATGATCTTGGGGAATCCTCACCTCATGAGCTAGCTTTTGGAGTTGAGTTAGATCCAAGGTTCATTTATCATGGTATCAGAGCCAGGCCCAGCCCAATTTATTGTTACCGATGTTGGGCCCCATTTATGTTGTCCACGCTCCAGTTTGCAGGCCTGGGCGCGAGGGGATATTGAGTCCCACATGGGGGGGGGGGGGTTTATTGGTCTCCATATATGGTCTTGGGCAATCCTCACCTCATGAGCTAACTTTTGGGGTTGAGTTCGGCCCAAGGTTCATTTATCAGCCAGAGAAAACTGGAAGAAAGCCTCTTAAGAGTCTTCAGATCCCCAATGACCTGCTGCTGCAGGTGTATCATGTGCCTCAGATAGAAGTTCCTGGTGAAGAGAGCTATTGTGTGGAACCACTAACCTCTCTTTGTATAGAGCTTGTTGTCCACCACATGGAAATCGGGCTGAGTTATTGGGGACAGATCAACAACTGTCAAGACCTCACGAGTGTATGGATCCTCGCAAAGGGCTTCAACCCACTAAGAAAAATCCTATGGAACTGGAATAGCATAATGAGGTCTTCTGGAAAGCGAGTCTGCACCTATATTTTCTATTCCAGGGTGAAATCAAATGGCAAACTCAAAACTGATTGGATCTTTTCCTTATCAACACCAACTCCTTCAACTGACACTATATGTCCCAAAAAAGAAATTTTGGGCTGTCCAAGTAGACATTTCGATGCTTTGGCATAATAGTGATTCACCTGAAGCAACTGTAACTGGATAAGTTAAGGAATGAAGATATTCGGGAGAAGGTGGGCGTTGCCCCCGTGGACGACAAGATGCGGGAAGCGAGGCTTAGGTGGTTTGGACACATGCGGAGGAGAACCATAGATTCCCCGGTTAGGAGGTGTGAGCGGTTGGCTTTGGCAGGTACGAGAAGAGGTAGAGGGAGGCCTAAGAATGATTGGGGCAAGGTGATCAGGCAAGACATGGCGCGACTTCAGATTTCCGAGGACATGGCTCTTGATAGGAACGTGTGGAGGTCGAGCATTAGGGTTGTAGGCTAGGGGGTAGTTCATAGTTTTTCCCTCTTTGTACCGGGTAGTCTGATAGAGTTTTGCCTATGTCTGGTAACGGTCTATGTTGTGTTCACACTATTTTGTTGTTTTGCATAGGATTGTATTATTGCACTCCCTTTCACTTATTTGGTGTATTTTAAGTTATTATTATTACTTCTCTTGCTTCTTTTGTTGTTACAAATCTCTTCTTGCGTTTCTTTTCTGATATTATTATCTCTTCTGTTGAGCCGAGGGTCTCCCGGAAACAGCCTCTCTACCCTTTCGGGGTAGGGGTAAGGTCTGCGTACATCCTACCCTCCCCAGACCCCACTAGTGGGATTTTACTGGGTATGTTGTTGTTGTTGTTGTTGTTGAGTGTTGGTCAAGAGTCGGGCTACATATTAGAGTATCGTCAAAAAAGACGAGAACAAATTTGCGTAAATGGGGTCGGAATAAGTTATTCATGGCAGATTGGAAAGTAGAGAGAGCATTAGTAAGGCCAAAGGGCATGGCAGTAAATTCATTATATCCAGAATGGGTTCAAAAAGCTGTTTTATGGATGTCAGCAGAGTGGACACAAATTTGATGGTAACCGGAGCGAAGATCAATTTTGGAAAAATTTGAGGCACCATGTAACTCATCAAGGAGCTCATCCACATTTGGTATGGGTTATTTATGTGATATGGAACATTGATTTGGATGAGGCGTCTATAATCGATGCCCATGCACCAGGTGTTATCTTTCTTTTTGACAAGAAGAATAGGGCTGGAAAAGGGATTGGTACTTGGCCTGATGAAGCCTGAATTGAGCAAGTCAGAAACCCGCTTTTCAATTTTAGACTTTTGGAAATATGGGTGGCGATAGGGTCGTATACAAGAAAGATATATCATCGGGTGTCTGGTAATATCAAAAGTATTTTTCAGTCTTCAAGATCCAACCGCAAAGATCTCCTCCATCAAAACGAGGAAATTCCATCTTGGTGTGAGGCCGGCGAGAGGGGTTTTTCAGCCACCACGGTAAGTCGGCATCGGTGTCGTCAACCCATGATGATCTTCCGGTATTGTGGGCCTCTGTACCAGTAGCAGTAATTTAAGTTGCTCGGACTCGGGTGCGGATGTCCGATATTGGTGTAGATCTAGAGGTCAGATCCTTCATGATCTAAATTTCAACCTAAGGATAGGACCCTTCGCTTCTCAAGCACAAAAACCTTAGTGAAAGTTGTTGAATTATGTGATCACCTTATCTAAAAGCTTGCATATTTTTATTTAATTATGTCTTGTACACACATTCTCACATGCGGGTTTGATTTTTAAGATGCCAAGCACGTGAAAATACTATTTGATGGAGGGTGGTGGTGAGATTTGAAATCAGGACCTCTGCTTGCTCTAATAACTTTGTTAAATTGTGTGTCCATCGGTTGACAATCATGAGGTCTCGAGTTCAAATCCTAACAACAACAACAACAACAACCCAGTAAAATCCCACAAGTGGGGTCTGGGAAGGGTAGAGTGTACGCAGACCTTACCCCTACCCTAAGGGGGTTAGAGAGGTTGTTTCCGATAGATCCTCGGCTCAAGGAGACGAAAAAGACAATATATCAGTACCATCAAATCCTAGCGGCAGCAAAAACACTAGGTGTTTTCTTCCCATTTGTCCTAGCCTTTGGGGACAGAATTACCCGGTACCTATGTTGGTGGGAGGTAGCAGGTATCCCGTGGAACTAGTCGAGGCACACGCAAGCTGGCCTGGACACCACAATTATCAAAAAAATTATGTCCGTCTCATCTAAAAGTTTGAACATGTCATACTTTTATTTGCTTAATTATGTCTTCAACTTTGGGAATTTTAGAGCGATCAATTTTAGAAGAGAACTTCAAAAGATGACAATATTATCTGTATCATTGATCAAAGCACTAACGACATGTGAAACGAATGATTAATTGTCATAACCTTTTCCATATCGACCTTATTTTATTTGAAGATACTGCTATTTTCCTTTAGCCAGTGTATTGAGAATGCTCGATCTTAATACTAATTGTTGCAATTATTTTTGGAGGTTTTCTAGTGTATTGAACAAAGGGATGCTGCTTTGTTATAGCTTCTTATCCTGGAAGTACTTCACTTTTGTTTGTAGGTACGCCTTGACATTGCCTCAGTACTTGGACTACTGGCATACTTCATAAACTACAAATTTGAAGACATATTTTCACTGTATGATTTCTCAACTTTTTCATGATTTCGACACAGTTTTTGATCCATGATGCAGTTGCAAAATTATGCACAATGTCTAGTTGGGACATCGTCTTTCCTTTAATCCTAACCCTAACCGACTCAAAAAACTTTTAAAGAGAGAGAGGGAGAGAGTACATTCTAGGCACTAGCGTTCATCCAACTCCTCTTTTCCTTTTTATGGGTTCTTAAAATAACTGAGCTTGGCAAATTTGTTTTTCTGAGTTTTACTTATCTTTGTACATTAGTTAAATCATATTCTAACAATCTTATTTGAAGCTTGTCTTGTAGTGACTATTGTATACTGTTGGTACCTCAGTCTGGTTTTGGATTGGAATTAGAATTATAGGTCACCGTGCACATAATTTTGACACTTTAAGATTCTCAAACTTGTGGTTCAAACCGAACTTGCATCATCCTCCACTAGCTAATCGTGGCTTCTCTAGTGTAATTTTCTTAGTTTCATATCAAAATCACTCTAAACACAACTATTCTGATTACTCTGTATGCTGCAATTGTAATAAGTAACTCGATTATCTGATTACAGATCCGCAATACTTTTAGATGTGATTGCAGTCAGTGCTCTTCTGATATATGTGAGCCGTGTGGTCTTGGGTTACAAGCAAACATGGGATAGATATCAAGTGAGTTCAGCACTTCCATTCTCCATTCCTTTTTATGAAGTACGAATTTTTTTATGCCTGCTCATTTCTTTTAGCTATATTTAGCTTCTGGTCAACAGGACACTTAATGAGAAAACAATGGCAAGTGGCTTTGGTTCTGTTTACTTTCTCCTGGATGCTTCTGAACAACAGCAGGTAGCAGAAGCCTCTAACGTTATATCGTTGTTGTCTATACAAGCGAAGGAAATTGGTTTGCTGAGGACGTATCTAGACACCTGATTCTTTCATTCTTCCCTCTTGCAGTACAAAGAAGCCATATTAGCATATGCAGTCCTGCTGAAAGAAAACAGCCAGGTTTTCCTTGGCCTTCTGAATACCCCTAGTGCACTATTCTTTCCTTGTTAATATGTACTAAATTCTTTTCAATGATCCTTGTTTTTTCTGTATTAAATAAATCTTCTTATAATTTCCTATTCTGCATTCTAAGGTTTTCTTTTCTGTATAATTACCAGGACAGTGCACTTATAGTGAATGCTAACAAGCATAAAATTTCTGTGCTTCATTTTTACTACTTGCTCTTTTTTCTTCTTTCGGATTATTTTTACTTCCTAGGCTAGATCAATATATAAAGAGTTAATACGTTAAAACCCCCTTAAACTATCCAACTTTTGTCAGTTTCCTACTTAAGCTATCCGTTGTCCACCTCCTTGAATTATATTTCCCCAATTATTAATAACTCCCCCGTTGCTTATCTGGCAAAATGTGTAAAGTAACTCGCATAAAGGCGCGTGAAGGGTGAAAATAGCCGTTAAAATGGCTCCACCTGACCGTGTGTAACGACTAATTAAGCTTACCCTTTAACAAAATTATTATCTTTTCTTTATTTCCTTTATATTTTAGGTTTTCTTCTTTATCTTTTTCACCTTTCTTCTTTATTTTTTAACTTTTCTTCTTCATTTTTTCACCTTTCTTCTCAAGTTCTCCATATGGGTTTCCTCTGAAAGTTTTTCTCTCTTGTTTCCTCTAAAATGATTTATTCTCTTTCTAGTTCAAGTCTTCTTCAATTTCTTACCCATATTATTGAAAGAACACCTATTTAAAATTAAATCTTCTTATTAAACCCAACACCAGTATGAAGTTGAATATCTTAAACCTTGTCTATGTAATCTAGAATTGGAGAATATAATTACAGGCCGATTGGTTTCTTATTTGTGGAATATTATTTTGTGTAATCTTGTTTGTGTAATATAAGATGATTTTTCCAGATATGCAACACTATATGCCTTCATTTATTTATTTATTTGGTTTTTTTTTACTGCAAAGTAAATGTAAACAAAGACTTATTCAATGGGAATCTAGCATAAAGTACAACCACAATAGTTTTGATAAATAGTTTCTTTTCATCGCTAGGAAAAAAAATAATGTACAAAACAAATTAAAAAACATGTAAAGCTGAACATCCCCAGCTCTACAAGCTACTTTTTTTTTTGATAAGGTAAATTGTATTGATCAAAAGGGAGAAAAAACTCCCGTATACAAGAAGTATACCAAAAAGTAGAGAAATTACATCAAAACATGATTCTCTACAAAAGACGCCCAATCTTCTATACAAGTAGGGGCTATATGAGTGCACCAAAAAGCGATCAAAGATAAAAGACTATACTTAAGATGTGAAAAAGGAGACTCAATCCCCTCAAAAGCTCTCCTATTTCTCTCCCCCAAACTATCCACATGAGAGCTAGCGGGTTAGAACTTCCACGCCTTTTGCTTTCTTCTTCTACGGAAACCGGCCCAGCTATGTAACATTTCCTTTACAGTGCTTGGCATCACCCATTGAACACCAAAAAGATTCAGGATTGCCCTCCACAAACCCGAGGACACGTGGCAGTGGTGGAGGCAGAATTTCCGTTAAGGGGGTTCAAAAAAAAAGTTGAAAAAGATTATAGCTAGTGGGAATTGAACCTATGACCTTACAAAAGTTTTGAACCCCCTTGACCACTAAGCTATGCGTTTGGGTTGTGCCAAGGGGATTCAAAGCTTAATATATAGAGGTAAAAAACAGATTTTGCCTTATATATACAGTGTAATTTTTTGGCGAAGGGGGTTCGGGTGAACTCCCTTCCGCCCCTCTAAATCCGCCACCGGACACGGGGCAATGCAACAAAAGGCGATCAACTTCTTCCCCCGAGCTTCTACACATGTACCACCAACTAACAAGTGTAATTCCTCTCTTTCGCATATTTTCAGCAGTCAAGATCACTCCCCTCGCCGCTAGCCATGCCAAAAATCACACCTTCGTGGGCGCCCTAGGAATCCAGATCGAGGAGTATGGAAAAGGGGCCTCCTCTTTCACTAACATACTCTGGTAAAAGGACTTTACGCTGAACAAACCATCGCCACGCAATCCCTATCTCGAAGAATCACAAGATGGCTGGGGCCAGTCTTGCCCATATAGCAGTGCCAACAAACCTTGGAGCTTCGCAATCTCCCAATCTTGCATGTTCGTTCTAAATGAGAGGTCCCATACTACCCTTAGAGTGGGGGTTGTATGGACCTTCAATTCCTTCTGATTTGAAACTCTGAAGACGTGGGAGAAAGATACCCTTAGAGTATCCTCTCCAAACCACCTGTGATTCCAAAAGCTGATTCTCCTTCCATCTCCCACCCTGTAATTGCCACTGAAGGCTTCCCAATTCTTCATGATGCTCCTCCACATGCCACGCCCGAAAGGTGCTGTGATTGCCTTGGTCCTCTAACCCCCTCCCGTGGAATCATACTTTTCTACTACGACCTCCCTCCATAGAGCATGCTCCTCTACCCCGAATCTCCACAGCCACTTCCCTAACAAAGCTCTGTTGAATACCCTAAGATCTTTTAATCCAAGTCCACCCCACTTCTTTAGGGAAGTGACTGTCTGCCAATTCACTAGATGAAACTTTCTAGTTCCATCCGCCGCATCCCAAAGAAAATTCCTTGAAGCCGCTACAGTTTTTCTGTGATGCTCACAGGTGCTTGCAACAGGAACAAGTAATAGGTGGGCATGCTCGATAAAGTGCTTTTAATAAGCACTTCCTTACTGCCTTTTGACAAGTATCGTTTCTGCCATCCTGCTAATCTTTTTTCAACCCTTTCGATCACTTAATTCCAAACCGTAGTATCCTTATGCGAAGCGCTCAATGGGAGACCCAGGTAACTAGGGGGAAGAGAGCCCACCTTACATCTAAGAACATAAGACAAAGCACCAATGCTAGCAACCTCACCCACCGGGAAAATCTCACACTTGCCGAGGTTGATTTTGAGTCCGGATGCTATTTGAAACCACTGCAAGACTTGCTTAAGGTAGGTCAACTGATCCATATCAGCATCACAAAAAACCAGGGTGTCGTCTGCAAAAAGCAAATGAGAGACTCTTCGGGCACTGAGCACCCCAATCGGAGCTGAGAAGCCTCTCAAGAAGCCTCCGCCCGCCGCACGATCCATCATTTTACTCAGAGCATCCATCACTAGAATGAATAGCACGGGGATAGGGGTCACCTTCCCTGAGACCCCTGGAGCTGCCAAAGAAACCACACGGGCTACCATTGACCAGGACAGAGAATCTGACTGAGGAAATACAGAACTTGATCCATCCCCTCCATCTTACCCCAAACCCTATCCGCATCATAATGAAATCCAGGAACTCCCAATTGACATGGTCGAAAGCCTTCTCAAGGTCCAACTTGCATAGTAAGCCGGGTTCTCTATTTTTCCTTCTGGAGTCTACAAGTTCATTTGCCACCAGAAGGATCTACCTACCTTCCACAAACGCATTATGGGAGGACGAAACAGACACGTCAAGAACCTTCTTGAGTCTATTGGAGAGCACTTTAGAAATAATCTTGTGAATGCTCCCCACGAGACTAATAGGCCAGTAGTCTCTGATGCAAGATGCTTCTTCTTTTTTAGGCACAATAGTAATCAAAGAAGCATTGACACTTCTCTCAAAAACACCATTCACGTGAAAGTATTCAATGACTTCCATCAACTCCCCCTTAATGGTGTCCCAACAGAGCTGGAAGATGGCAAGGAGAAACCATCATGCCCGGGGGCCTTATCACCAGCACAACTCGACACAGCCTCGTGCACAGCTCTACAAACTACTAACTTTTATTTCTTCCTCATTATTCTTTATCCATCATTTTGTACATTAAAACTAAGGGTACAATCACAACTAAAGCTAAAAATAACACATTGCATGAGATCCTTTTGGCCAAAATGCTTAGAATTGATCGATCATCCGAGAGTAATACACAACGAGTAAACTACATCTAAATTTTTGTACAAAACATAAGTTAATATAGTTATTGTTGAAAACATGATTAAGTATATAAATGTGTGTTCTCTCTAACAGCTTAAGCTTTTAGATGAGATAGTCAAAGGTCCTGGGTTCGAGTCTCACCGTCACCCAATATCCAAAAAAAAAAAAAATTCACGTGCTTGGCTCATAAAAAAGAATAAAGCCCACACGTGAGGGGGCGTGTTGAAAAGATGATTAATTATATAAAAGTGTGTTCTCTCTGACAGTTTAAGCTTTTAAATGAGATGGTCACATCTTTATATACTTAACCATGTTTTCAACACGCCCCCTCACGTGCGGCCTTGATTAAGTGAGCAGACATTCCACAAGTAGCCTCGGTTGCTCACAAGTAGCCTCGGTTGCTCAGACTGATACTCATGTTACTGGACCGCAGTATGAGGCATACGATTGGCACATGGCGTGAATCACAAGGCCTTTGCTACCTTAACTCACTCAATCCCTCCACAGCATGTCTAGTTACAGATCCTCTAGACCTAATTCACAGACGTTTAGGACATCCGAGTTTATCTAAGCTTCAGAAGATGGTGCCTAGTTTGTCTAGTTTGTTTATATTAGATTGTGAGTTGTGTCAATTTGGAAAACATACCCGAGCCACCTTTCCGCGTAGTGCTGAGAGTTGTTCAGAGTCTATTTTTTTCTTTAGTTCATTCTGATATATTTGGGTCCTAGTAGAGTCAGTTCAACCTTAGGATTTCGTTATTTTGTTAGTTTCATTGATGATTACTCAAGATGTACTAGGATTTTCCTAATGAAGATTGTTCTGAGTTGTTTTCTTTAAAAAAAAAAGAATTTTCATGAGTAGGATCATAAAAAAGAATCAAGCCCGCACGTGAGGGAGTGTCTTGGAGACATAATTAAGTAAATAGAAGTGTGGTTTCTCTAACAGCTTAAGCTTTTAGTTGAGATGGTCACACACTTCAACATGGTATCAGAGCAGACAAAGGTCCTAGGTTCGAGTCTCACTGCCACCCAATATCAAAAAAAAAAAAAAATTCACGTGCTTGGCTCATAAAAAAGAATCAAGCCCGCACGTGAGGGGCGTGTTGAAAATATGATTAAGTATATAAAAGTGTGTTCTTTCTAACAGCTTAAGTTTTGAAATGAGATGGTCGCACACTTCAACAATTATACAGACGCACCTCTAAAAATTCAACGGGGAGTTTTAACATATAGGGGAATATAGTTCAGAAGGGGTTTGTGGACAACAGATAGTTTAAGTACGTAGCTGACAAAAAAAAAAATATTTTAGGAGGGTTTTAGGCTGAGATAAATAGCCACGTATAGCATCACATGGCACACTTTTTTTGATACTTAGGAGCGTGTACCATACGCACTGCTAGAAATGCAACGAGGGTTTTTTTATAGCTAGGGGAATATAGTTCGCGGGAGTTTGGGGATATCGGATAGTTTAAGTAGGAAACTGACAAAAGTCGAATAGTTTATGAGGATTTTAGGGTATTAACTCATATATAAACCAACCCACCCATGGCCGATAGCCTACACCACAAACAACAGTAGTTGATTCTTTCTTCTTTTTTTAATTTTTTTCATTCTTCTCTTCCATCATTATATGCCCCAACAGGTACTTAGCGCTGCAGTTTCAAGCTTTTGCAGTCAAAGTCTCAACATCTAGGGGCATCACCCTTTTTATATCATCCACTCCTAGCTGTTTTCATCTGAAATGCAATTAAAATCTCTGAAATCGCCATTAAATTGCACTAGCAACAGAAAACAAATAGACCCACTTCCACCTGCACCTTCCATTTACATTCCCGACTATTCTCTTCAATGCAGCGAAAACTTAATCTGTCTGATATTTCCTTTTCCAATGAACCAAATGTGTGAAGTTTCCTTGATAAATCTCGACAGAGGTGACTCGGCAACAAAGTCTTGGAAATTTGGGTGCTAGTGAATTAAGAGAGTTAAGCAGGGACTAATCTAATATTCATGAAATCTTAAAGTCTAGTGAAGTCGTCTTCCTATTCTTAATTGGGGCTTGAATTGGATCTAGAGTCCCTACGGAGTTGCCAGTCCTAAGGAATCAAATCAATTAAGAAATGCTGCACAAATATGGGGGTTTCAAGTGTCCATATCACTTCTTGGATTATGCACATATCTTAGTGGTGCTCTCTGGTTTTTCTCGCTTTAGTTATTCATTCTTGTGATGTCAATCTCTTACACCTAATTGAATTTCTGGATTCCATCACTCCCTTTAAATGAAAGAACCATAAGGATTTTTACGGAACACCACTACGTGCAAATGGAAGTATTGCACTTTAGATTGCACTTCCTTCGATTGATCTTCATCTTTTCTACCTACATGATCATTTAGCTGTTCATGAATACACTATCGCGAAAACATAGTGATATAGGATGGTGGTTGGTTTGGAGTTTAGTTGCGAAAAGTTATTTTAGTGGAAAGGCATGTTTTTCTTCTACATTTTCTTTTAAAGGTTATGAAGAAAGTTAGTAGACATAGTTTTTGTTTACACATAGAAAAATGATAAAGCATCTGGTAGGAATCCCATTACTTTGATGTAGACGAGTTTTTGCAGGGGAGAGGGTTGTCATGCACTTTAACAATGAAGAAATTCTTAAAACTTGTCAGCTTTTCTAATAGATCTATTACTTCGTCATGAATCTCTGTTATGCCTTTGAGATATCTCATTGCCATTGATGGAGCATTCATTAATTGTCCTTTTATCCACGAGTTTGAAAATGGACAACTTTGTCTTCCTACTTAGGTAAAGATTTCTTGATTGCTACGAACTTCTGTAGAACTTAACGATCTGAGATCCTGTCAAAAATTATAGGGAAGTTATGCTGGAAATGTTGGAGCCAGATGTGAGAAGTTTATTTATGATCTGTTGGACGAAAAGGTAACTTGGTGATTGAATTACTTTGCAGCTATAGCTATCCATGTTGACACAGTTGCATTATGTGCAGGTTGAAATGCCTGTAGACAAAGCTATAAGTACATTGGTGAGGCTGGGTATTGTAATAGAGGAGTCTTTAAACGGGCACACTGTGCTGCAGGCAGTCCCTTGCTTCAAGGCATATGAGATTCTTAAACAACATTGGAATAGCTTGCTCGGCTAAGTTTTGCTACATAGAATACAAAGTTTCTTAGCTGTAGATTTTTAGCTTCAACAAAAGTATTTGGAAGTATGAATGCAGTAAGAGATAGTGTAACTTTGTTATAATTAGGAAGGATGAATTATACTAAAAGTGGGAACATCCTAAACTAAAAACGTATCATTATATTATATTATGTTACTCTAAAATTGGGAATATCCAAGTTAAAACTTAATTTACAAAAATATCCTTTCAAAGCCAAGTGACCATTTTATCCAATAAATCCTTTTTCTTTCTTTGGGTTTCTTCCATATTAAAAAATTTTACATAGTTTATTTACAAAATTCTATACGTGTCTAAATACATTACATAATTAAAAGGAGGAAGGTGAAAAGAATTCCGTTTTCAAACTTTTTAAGTTCCAAAAAATATTGATACTTTAGAATCTTTTAATTTTCTCATATGAATGAAGAGTCATATTACCATCCAAAGGAGTTAAACCCTCTCTTCCCTTCAATAAGAAAAACTCCTTGATTTCTCTTCCCAATACATTCTCCTAGCAGGGAGGGGTTGTTGCTGCACCTTCCTTTAGCTCAGATCCTATGGGTTTGGATGATCAATTTCTTTCTAAAGGTGAGCATTTTCATTCAAACTGTTGGGGTCATATTTGCCACTGACAACTACTGATGCACAAATTCTCCATAACATGCACATCGGTATTCGTTACTTTTCAATTAGATATAATTCCTATCTTATGTAAGTTTAATTATTTACGTTCTGTTAGGGATGTAATGATTTATATCGAAAGTGAGAATATTTTTCGAAACATTCTCTCTTTTGCATTATCCTCGTTATTTTTCTTCTCATTTTTTTTGATTGATTCAGCTACATATATAAGTTGGTGTCTTTAGGATTTGTACTACATAGCTCAACTTAAGAAAAGTGCTTTTTATGAAATGTTATTTTTTTTTTTTAAAGTAGTATCAATACATAAAACCATCAACAACTGATCAGCGAAACAAAAAATATAAGAATTATAGTATCAGGTAAGATACGATCATATCAAATATTTGAACCTGATAACACAAATATTAGCTCATTACACATCATACCTTTCTAACAAATTTTAATTGTTCAATTTTTAGGTTCAGGGGATGTCTATTCACTTAGCATTTATAATCAAGTCATTCAATTATGTAGATTGTTCATTGGCCGGGCACATACGTGTGTAACACACGTCCAAAAAACTAATTGAATAAATACATCAGAAAATGAAAGAGATTTCCAGTTAGAAGAATTGATTTTTCCTGATAATTATGGCGGGATCTCCCATTTATCCTGTTGCCCTTAGAGAGTGGAATAACGTACACTCTCCTTCCTCCTCATCGTAGGCAACTCCTTGTCGTCAGTCTCCATTACATTTAGATCCTAATTTGTTAAAAGGTGTGATATGCAATGCTCAGCTAAACGAAGTTTTTCAAAATTGATTTAGTTACTCCCTCCATTTCAATTGATGTGTTTTACCTTCCTATTTAGTCTATTTCAAAAGGAATGCCTCTTTCTATTAGTAGGTCTTTAACATGACATATTAATGTGATGATCTGATAGGTCATCTAGAGTTTTAACCCTTAATTCTGTATTTCAAAATCTCAAATAGCTCCTTTTAGCCTTCCTCGATTTGTATGTGCAGTCCGTGTCTTTTCCGGAAGGCTTTTATGTGAAAAATCAATTAAAACGTGAGTTCGTGCCTTAAAAATTCATTTGACTTGACTTCAACGTTTTGAGCAAACGGATCCGGATATGTATTTTGACGGTCCCAGTGAGTCCGTATCGTGATTTGGGACTTGGGCGTATGTCAGAAATCGAATTCGGAGGTCCCTGACTCGAGTTATCGCATTTCGTCAAAATCTGAACATTAAAGGTTTAAAGAATTTATAAATTTGACTGAAGTTTGACTTTGTTGCTACCAGGTCCGTATTTTGGTTCCGGAACATGGTTTAGGTTCATTACTGTATTTATGACTTATCTGCAAAATTTGGTGTGAAACGGAGTTGATTTGACGTGATTCGGACGTCCGGTTGTTAAAATAGAAGTTCTCAAGTTTCTTTGAAAAATTCATTCTTTTTGGTGTCCGATTCGTAGTTTTAGGTACTATTTTGGTGTTTTGATCGTGCGAGCGAGTTCATATGATTTTTTTGGACTTATGTGCATGTTTGGTTTGGGGCCTCGAGGGCTCGAGTGAGTTTCGGATAGGCCATGGAGTGATTTCGAATTTGGTAGAATAGCTCATGCTCTTTTTACTTCCAGTGTTCTGTTGCACGTCTCGCATTTGTGAGCCTCGCTTTCGCGAACAAGGCTTCGCATTTGCGAGCATGGGCTGGCTGGGGAGGTCTCGGATTTGCGAGGTAAAAGTTCGCATTTGCGACCAAAAACATCGCATTTGCGATGACTAGGTGTCTGAGAGGAGTTCGCATTTGCGACCTCTTTATTGCAATTGCGATGTTCCCAATTGCGAACAAAATATCGCAATTGTGACATCCGCAGCTGGGTAAAAATTGACTTAGACGGGATTTTGCTCATACTTCCAAATTTTGAACCCTAAAAATCTTTGAGGCGATTTTACAAGAGCTTTTCTTCCTCAAAGTGACTCTAACCTACTTCCTTTCAATTACCAACCACATTTCATAAGATTTCAACCTTAAATCTAGGATTTTCATATTAGAAACTAGAGATTGGGTGGAATTAGGAATTTTTGTAAAATTGGAATTTAGACCTGAGGTCGGATTTCGAAACAAATTACATAACCGAGCTCGGGGGTGAATGGGTAATTGGATTTTGGTCCGAATTTTGGGTTTTGATCAAGCACGCACGGGGTTGAATTTTGTTGACTTTTTGAATAATGATCTAAATTGAACCTCTTTCATTCGTGGGTAGTTTCTAAAGCTTATTTTAAATCGCTTGGTTAATAATTTGCTAGATTTGGTTGGTTCGGAGGCTTTTTTTCGAAAGGTAAGACCATGGTTGAACTTTGAGTTGTTTGCAGAGCGAGGTAAGTGTCCTGGTTAACCTTAACTTGAGGGATTAGGACTTATTTATCTATTTGCTACATGTTTAAATGTGTGAGTACAATGTATATGTGAGGTGACGAGTACTTATGTGTTATTGTTGGGTTAAAGCATGTAGGTGGGACTTATTGCTTGTAATTTATCGCCTCTTTTACTTATGATATCCATGCTTAGATTAGTTTACTTCTTATTTGATCGATCTATCCGCATCTATGAATTAAATTGTTGAGGATTTCTTGAAATTGGGGATTGGTATCTTGGAACCATTATTGATGTAAGGTTTATTCTTGCTTAATCTTATATTCAATACTATATGGTAAGAGAGAGTGGTAAAGCATGAAGGGTGATGCCGTGCCGTATTTATCGTTTCATGGAGAGATTGAGAATAAAAGCACGAAGGGTGATACCGTGCAATTATTATTGTTTCAGGGTGAGGTTGAGGGTAAAAGCACGATGGGCGATGTCGTGCCGTTTTTATCCATTATGTTTATCCGTTTTCATTGGTTGATGATTTATTTGATTGTTTATGTTGTCATTCCTGTTGTAGCTATCGTATCTTGTTCTCCTTTATATCCCCTCCCAATTGTATGTATTTAATCTCTATTTATTGTTATGCTGCACATATATCTTCGTTTGTACACGTTTAATTACGTGAGTGTCTGTTATAGCCTCGTCATTACCTCGTCGAGGTTAGGCTCGACACTTACGGAGTACATTGAGTCGGTTATACTCATACTACACTCTGCACTTCTTATGCAGATTTTGGTACTGGTCCGAGCTATTCGTAAGGTACATCAGCTTGGATTGAAATATTTGGAGACTCGAGGTAGATTTGCTGGCGTCCGTAGACCTTGAAGTCCCCTCCTCTTTCCTTATTTACTGTTCATTTTATTCGAAACAATTGTATTTATTTCAGACTCTATTTGTAAAACTTCTAGTGGCCCGTGCACTTGTGACTTTGGATCCGAGATTGTACTTAGACACTTTTGGTTGTTTTATCTTTTCACACATTATTTCAGCTTTATTTCAGTTTAAATGGGCTAAATTACTTGAATGCTTAAAATGGCAAATGATTTACACTAACGTTGGCTTGCCTAGCGAGTGAAATGTTAGGCGCCATCACGGTCCCAAAGGTGAGGATTCCGGGTTGTGACAGGTTGGTATCAGAGCACTAGGTTGCCTAGGTCTCACGAGTCACAAACAGGCTTAATAGAGTCTGAAAGATCAGTACGGAGACATCTGTACTTATCTACCAGAGGCTATGGAGTTTAGGAACAATTTCACTTCTATTCTTCTCTATCGTGCGATTTTATTCTATCATTGATGATTGAACTCTTCTATTCTTGTTCTCTCGTAGATGGTGAGAACACGTACTGCATCTACAGCTGGACAGCAGCCGGATCCCCTAGTGGCAGCTCCTACGAGGAGCAGAGGTCGAGGCCGAGGTAGAGGTAGAGCTCAGCCTAGAGCTCGAGCAGCAGCACCAGCAGTGGAGCCTCTGGTAGATTTTGATGAGGAGGCTCTAGCTCAGACTGTACCTGTTGGACCAGCTCAGGTCCCGGAGGGTTTCATCGCAACTCTAGTGCTTCAGGACGCTCTAGTCCGTTTGGTGGGCCTTATGGAGAGTGTAGCCCACGGCCCAGGCCAGTACATTTTCGGTAGCACCCGCCGTCCCTCAGGCTGGAGGAGGAACACAGACTCCCACTACTCACACTCCGGAGCAGATGGCTCCCCAGTATTAGACTACAACAGCCCCGCCAGTTAGAGTAGTTCAGCCAGTTATTGCCGCACATGTCGGTGATAGGTACGCCATGTCTTCTGAGGCTTTATTGAGGTTGGACAAGTTTAAAAAGCTCTTTCTAGTTCACTTCAGTGGTGCACCTTCTGGGATCCACACGATTATCTTGATCGCTGCCATGAGGTGCCGCGGAACATGGGTACAATTGAGACCAATGAGGTCGATTTTTCTGTGTTTCAGATGACGGGTTCCGCTAAGAGGTCGTGGAGAGATTTTTTGTTAACCAGACTAGCTGGGTCGCCTGCACTTACTTGGGATCAGTTCTCTCAGCTATTTCTAGAGAAGTTCCTCCCTATCACACCGAGAGAGGATTACCGCAGGCAGTTTGATCGTCTCCAGCAGGGCAGTATGAC